CTTGGCAAGTTTTGTTACCAAACTACGGATTTCATGCATTTTATTTTATGAACATTGTTAGACAGAGAAATATATTTTTATGTAATTTCTGCTTCGTTCAATTTTGATTTTGTTCGGTTGAGGTTTCAATAAGGTTATAATTTCTAAGATAAGATAAGATTCTCCGCCTAAACGGAGAATGCAAAATGTTTTATCTAACTAACGATCGCAAAAATGAGATTAGTGAACCACATTTTTCGTTTCCAGTAAATTTCAATGTTCAAGTATGAAAGAATTTCGAAAGAGTATTGAACAACAGCTGCTAGAGGTAATGTGCCAAGATTTATGGTAGCAATTACTGTTTCACCCGTGGCGTGCCTCGTAAATCGCAACCTAATTTGATGCACCCAATGCATCAGCACGATAATTAATTTTTCAATATGGGTAATTAATCCTGTCACGATTACAAAGGCAAAAAGCGGTATGCCTGTTATTTACACGATACGTATTGCTTATATTTACATATATATTATTATTCCGTGCTTATCACTGAACTGCAAAACACCTGTATGATAACAATGAGCGCGTGTAATTTGTAACAGTAGACCAATTGAAATTAACGTGGAACATCAACTTTGTATATTTGATTGGCAAAGATATGAAAGATAAAGAATCCTCGGTTTAATTTGAGTATATTACTTACGCTTATGTTACATTTACGTTACGAGTAACTTAAAGACGAGGCTCAGAAAAAATAGATTTTTGAAATAGTTCGTATCTTGTCATGTAATACAGAACTTGGCAAATAAACTCTCCTTGAAAGTTTATGGAAATAGCGTTTTCAAATATACATATTTATCTACGTACTATTCATATGTGATTGCTATTTAAAAAACAAAATTTACATGCCATTCTGAATTACACAAATATTCTTAAAGACTATTTATAGTCTATTTACTGTTTCAAAAAACCTATTTCTCCCCAGCCCTGTTCAAAGACGATGAAATTGTTCTACAAACGAAAGAATAAATCCGAATTCCTACTCAGCTCTTTCGCTGAACCTAATGACAATGGCATACCATAAAACAATTAAAGCGGATTAACGCGTTAAGTGCCACGCGAGTCGCGCAAAAATGACACTAATTTTTAATTAGTCTCAGAAATCTCTTCTTGTAAATGTACAATAAGTCCTCCACACACAATTTTCCTTCGGCTTGTAAAGACAAATGGACAAGGTTATTTGGTAAGATGAGATACGATTGTTCGAGCCTCGCGACTCATTTTTATAGTCGCCGATTGTCAACATTTATAAAAACGAGGTTGCAAGCTGAAGGAAAATTGGGGAGGATTTATTGTATCAGACTTTCGGTTGTTCCTGGTGCAACGACAATTTCTTTTAAATTGTCCGGGCTTAAAATGAATCAACGAATGTTAATTCAACGAAATAGGCTCGATCGGTAGTACGTTCGATCGGTAGCATGATTTTAACGAGAAATGGGTGGCTCGATGTACTGCTAGGACACGAAGGGTCGCAGGGCTAATCTTGTACAAGTGTTAAGAGATAATCGACGAGGATTCGACGCTCCCGCCGGCCGACCGTAATTATACTAAACAGCAGAGAGATTGGCGGCGCGGCGTGAAAACCAACGAAAAATAAAGCGTCGCTCGCCGCGTCTTAATCCCTCGGATCGTTTCGGTGCTCGCCGATATACGGCCATAATCTACGGGCTTTTCAGTCCGGTCGGTACGATAATTATTAACGACGAGCTCAGTCGCTTTAGCGGGCTCCCCAGACTGCCCTCGAAAACGAAAAGCACCGAAACTAATGGTAAGCGGGCACAAACGATTTATACACGTCGTTTCAAGATTTAATCCAGCCTGAAATCGATGGGCGGGAAGGCGAAAGAAAAAAGAAGAAGAAAGGAATACGGAAAATAGAGGGAAACACTCGACCACGACGGTCTCTCGACTTGGCAACGTCAAAGCGGACCGTAACCGTGTCATCGGTATCGCGGAAGATGGATTACCCCGGGCAAGAAACACTTCCTGCTGTTGTTTGAGATCAGGAAGAGCGCTGTAGCGCCGGTTTTGCACGCCAAATTTACCTTTCCGCGCGGACCGTATTCACTTGCCTTTAAATCAAATTCGCCGTTTTACCAAAACGAAGCTAAACCGAAGCCGTTCCGATCAGAAATTATCAAAATCAATTTTACGCAATTACGGCGAAATTGGATAGCTACGATTTAAAATAGTGCAGAAATTAAAAGAATTTAAAAAGTATATTGATAGCAAAATTGAAGCACCGCTAATTTTTGGCCGGAAAATTGTCGATTTTCGAACAGCCGTAACGCCGTTAGAAGCTGTCATGAAATTATGTCTTTTTCAAAGAATTAAAGCTTGAAATCTCCACTTTAAAATGCCACATTCAAATTTTGAATACCACGCGTTTCCACGACTGTAGTATCCTAAATCTAAGAGCATGTTCGCGATACCGAAAAAGTGCAGAGTTTAACGCCCTCCGTGGACTTGGAAACATTTTTCACATTCAAAGTGCTACAACTTTGCGAGAAAAAATTGCAGCGACGTAAATCGACCCTCCAATTAAAGGGGAAAGTCCGAACTTTAGGATGTTGTGAACGGCATGCTGGAGAACAATTTTTCCAAGTCCACGGAGGGCGTTAAACTCTGCACTTTTCGACATCACGAACATGCGCACAAATTTAGGATACCACACTCCTAGGGTTGCATGATATTAAAAATTGGAACACGATATTTCAAGGCAGAGATTTCAAGAGTTAATTTAAAAAAAAAGTCATAATTTTATGATAACTTTTCACGAAGTTACGGCTGTTCGAAAATCGACAATTCTCCGGCCAAAAATTAGCGACGCTTTAATTTTAAAACCACTTGATCGCTCATCGATCATCGATCGAAGATTTACACTCAGCGGGAATCGTCGGTCCGCGCAGAATCTCGAGTTTATTAAAAATCGCGCGACTCCGATCGACGAATAAAAAACGTTGGTAAAAGGATTCGGAATTTTTCATATCGAGTTTATTGCATTCCCGATTACCGAGCCCCGGTGATTAGCCGTCGACAATTTCTTACCGACGCGGCGCGGCGCGCTGCTCGACAAGAATTCGCAATTTCTTATTTTCGAATTTCATCGGAGGGCTGGGGCTCGCGGAATAACCGCCCGATGTAAAGTGACTAGAATTGAAATTCGAGGGAGATGTAAAGCTTTATCGCGGAACAACGAAAGCTGGCACGTCGGCGAGACGATTGGTGGTGCGCGTCGTTTAAAATTCAGCGTTTATTCATTTATGGTAATCCTGGACGCGCACCGAGCGTTCAAATGCAGGGGTCAAATAGAATGGGGAAAAAGTACCGTGCAAGAACTACCAAGATACGGGTTCGATGCGCGTCCTAGCGCATCCTGGTGGATTCGTGGAGATGGGCTCGTGTCTCCCGCGGCAGTCGTCTCTACGCGGATTAAACTCGACACCTGTTTGTTCACGGGAACCGTGCTCGATAGTCGGAACGGCGAACCAATTTGGTAAGTGTTCTGTGAAATTGTTACCGCGAATTCATGGTGTCTCCTTCTCTACGGTTATCGATGAAACTGTGCATTCGCCAAAAATGGGGGACACATATTCTCCATCCGTCGGAGCTCAAATTTTAGGGACGAAATTTAGCCCCGCGGAAGTCGCGGCTTGGCGAGCTACTTTGCAAAATAGGATAAAAATGGTTCGAAGGGAATTTCAGATAAGGTCGTACTTCCGACTATTAGATTTTTCGATCTTGTGGAAAATTGTTCGTCTCGATTTTGCCTAAACAGAATGCACAAT